GAGGAACAACTTACAGGGGAAGCTCCCAAATGTTTAGCTGACTCAATCGTCTGAACAAACTCATCCAAATTTCGATCGCACGCCCCGTTATCAGTCGCGTGCTCCAGCCCGTAATCCAGCATAGCCATGAGCCCCGAATCCCAGAGTCTCTTCACGATCCGATCCGCCTCCCCCAAATCCTTCCCCCCGCAGAAATGATCGTAGAACGTGTGCTCGATCGACTCCAGCAGCATCTTCCTCGAGATCGGGCTCTTCATCAGCCGCGAATTCACGACCGTCGACCCCAGCTCGACCACGCCCTTCATCGACGCCGCTTGGAGGGTCACGATCGACTTGATCAGCTTCCCGGTCGAGACGGACGAGAACAGCTCCTTCGCATCGTCGAGGTTGACGGGTGTCCCGGCGGCTGGAGCCGGCTTGGTGGGCTTCGGGTAGGGGGCCGTCTCGGCGACGTTCAGCTGGTGGCCGGCGGGGGTGAAAAAGGGCGAGGCGGTGGAATTGGGGCGGCGGGAGAGGAGGGGGAGGCTGCGCAGGAGGTGTTTTGGGCGGTGGATGGTGCGGCCGGCCATTACCGGATTGAAACGCCGAGATTGACTAACTTTTGGTGGGGGTACAGTGTGCTGTTTGTGGGGGTACTTGAAGCCTGAAGGATGTGCGTATATTTATAGAGCAGCTGTATTTGAAGCCTGAAGAATATGCATTTTCAGGGGTTTGTAGGGACGACCGCGTCTTTCGGCGGGAAAGTGTGAGCTCCCCACTATTGTTGGATGATGACACCGATTCAGTTCAGATGAGTAGATGCCTACTCAGAATCATCCACTAACAGTTCTAGTTAGTTAAATGTTAAATAAATGAGTGCTCACCTGGGCATTATTTATTGGGCCTTATTGGACCAAAGGCCAATTACAACATACGGCCTTCAACCTATCTTAAAAGATCATAACTAGACAGGCCTTACTCTAAGCCCAATAAATAGCCAATGCAAGAAGCTGTGGTGTGCCCTTTCAGTTTCGAAGGATGTGAGACCGTGAGTGGATAAATATTATTATTATTATTATCATTTTGCGTCTCAAATCAATCTCCACTTTACGAGGTTGTAGTTTCGAGCCATTAGATCTTATAGTTTTGATATAGACCCTTAGATGTAGACAATCATATGTGATGTGACAGTTTCTTATTGGAGTTTAAAGTAGGAGAATGATCCCATTACGAGATTGTAACATTTTTCTTACTCACAATCATCTACAGCTAAAGCTCATTCTCGCGCGCACAGTCAAAGACGAGCAAACACTTGGCATACATTGCAAAGAAAAAAGGGAAGTTTTCCAAGTGAGTTCTTTTCCAGTTTTCTTTTTTATTTTAATTTTTTCGATTCATCTAGTTCAATCATCATCATGATTCATGACTTATGTAAGACTTCATATTTTATGTTTATCTCAGGAAATTTAAGTTATATATAACCAATAAACTGTAATAGTCGAGGGTTTGCATCCCACGTTTATCCTTAACTCATGTTATAATTTTCATGGTTTGGTGATAGCTGTGTTCGGAGGTCCATTACTACCTTCGCTAGGAAAAACCATTTAAAGCCATTTCTCATCAACTCAAGGTCAACTCATCTAATACCATGATTTTAATAAAAATAAAAATCAATTGGAATCTCATTTTTAACCAAGAAAATGTTACCAAGAAATGGGTTTTCGGTGTGAGAAAATTTAGTAAATGAAAAACTGGCTCATAACTTATGTAGGGATTGAAATGAGCAAAACTTTAGGATCAATTAGGATGAGCCTTTGGAGATTTTGTTTGATAAAAGACATAAACTTTGGATTGAGCTCAATTGGATTAATTCATAGGATTATTTAAATATGTAATTCAAATATTTTAAAATATTCGAGCTCGATGCATGCATCATATAGGTGTAAGAGAGCTGAGCCGAGGTTGATTTTCCGATACCCATGCTCGGGCTAGAGCTTTTATTGAACAGAGCCCGAGCTCAACTCATAACTCGAGTCTTAACGAGCCGAACTCTGGTAAAATTTAGAAAAATTACATATAAATATAACTTCTCGAGCCTCATCGGCTTAGCTCATCAACTAATTAAGCTCTAGTTCGGCTTAGTTAATGAGTCAAACTCGTGACTAGATCGTTTCTTTCAACAACTCTAACTAACTATACATGAGACCTAAAACAAAATTACTCACTAGTTGCATATTGTTTATGCAGACATGTAAAACACATCTTTTGATATAACTGGTCAATATCCAGTGATAAAGCGAAAATTTGAAGAAGTACAAAAAAAACGGGGAAATACACGAGGAGAAATCTTTGTCCTTATTGTCTGAAAACCTAAAATCATTTGTACCCCTTTGTCTGTAGCTATTCCTTCGGTGCCTTCACTTTCAACATCATGTTTGTCACGATCAAGAAGAAAATTGTTGTCTGTAGCTATTCCTTTAGTGCCTTCAATTTCAAATCAAGTTTGTCACGAATTGTCAGATTCGTTTGCTATCGTGAATAATGTTTTTTTTTAATTAATGTAAGATAGACCTCGGCCGGCTAAGAGGTCTGGGAATCGGGTTGGTTTTCATTACAGATGGGGGAATAATTTTCTAACCAGAGATCACAAACTCTGAAAGGGGTAGCATAACTCTTATCATATCATTGGGGTGACAGAATATATCAAAGGAAACATTGTGTTCACTAAGCTTGCAATCGCACGTAAAATATAGGCAGCAAACAAAGATTTGTACCACCAATGCACTGAAAGATATCACAAGTAAGACATAGCAAGTCCAACAACAGGCGAAAGGACCATTGCATAGCGCAGATAAAATTCAGACAACCATATGAAAAAAATAAATAAATAAAGTACGCCACCATAAGCCATATCAGCTCTGTTTTCTTTACTGATCAACTGAAAGGGAGCTCTCTTTTATGTGCTCTGGACATAAGGATAAACCCTCACATCATAATGTAAGCAGCTACGAATGCCAAGATTCTTCAACACCTTTGTATGACAATCGTAAAGCAGTAGGGAACCCTTTGAGTCCTGAAACAGAGCTTTATCATTCTTGTAGAGGCCCAATACACGCTCAACACAAACATCATCATCATCAAGAGGAGGGACATTGTATGTGGAATCTAAAGACCAACCGTCATTCCATACCCAAATCTCGAAATCAAAGGGCTTATTTACATTTACAACAGATCCACCATCCTTCCTTCGCTCCACAAGTTCAGTATCATGGACAATAGCGGCAAGAGACCCACGAAACTCTACAATGTCAAAACAATGCCACCACTCGGGAAATGGGATGAGTGCCGGAAAGTTGTCGTTAGTAAAGTCGAATGAAACAATAGTGTTGCCGGTCGGGTTCGGGGCCTGGAAAGCTTTCCAATAGGAAATGCCATTTATGTGAACACAAGTGCGTGCAAGGGAATCCATGTAGGAATCATAAGGATACGGAATTTCCTTCCAAGAAGCAGTTTTGAGCGAGAACAAAGCAGCACGGGCTTTGTCGAGACAGTCGTCTAGAAAGCCATATCGGAGGACCTTATTGTTAGCCGCCAATGTTGAAAAAAGTATGCAGCAATTGTAGAAAAATCAGCTGCCTCAAATGATGAAAATTGTTCCAGCCCACCAAGCCGTATGCAGGGGCAGCCTTTTGTTGAAGATATCAACCAAAATCCATGTGAAAGCATTTAATTTGGGGCTGAACGTGAGCAGTCTTTTGATGACAAATTGTGCACTCCCCACTCTATAAATAGAGATGGGTTTTGATGAACCAAACACCACAACCGAAAAGAAAAATACAACAATACACCAAGAAAAAAAAGAGAGAAAGAAAAGGTGTGAGTAAGAAGCAAAAGTCTTAGCTTCTGTGTGTATTTGAGTTGTGATTTGTGAGTGGTTTCGAGAGTGTTTTGTAAACACGAGTGTAATTTCTTTTTCCCAATAAAATATCTGCAGTAGTCCGGAGACGTAGGCATTATTGGCCGAACTCCGTTATCAAATTGGTGTGTCCAATTTTTATTTTTTATTTCACTTTTATAGATCCGACTTCATGGAAAATTCAGCGTATTTTTTCCAACACTTATAGTCTTCAGTTGCAGGATCAAACCCTACGCTGTGACATTGCCAACCGTACAACGTGGAAATTGAGGGCCACCAACCAAAGAAAGGAAGGGGTCTCATCTCATTGGTGGTAGGGTTCCACAGGAGCTCATATGGATAACCAATTGACCTTTCCCACTTCAACAACATCCATTTGTTGCAACTCGCTAGGGTATCATATTGGCATAACGAAATCTCACGACAGTAAATTTTAGCTCTGAGCAAATAAGAGAAGTTTGGGAGATTTTCGTGTATTACTTTGAACGAGCCGCCTTCGGTTGAGATTGCAGAGACATCGCGCGTTCCGTTGCTGCTCACATGCTCCACCGCGAGCATTAGACTGTTACTGCTTATATTGGCGCCGCCAGGCTTCAGATCGGGCGGATGCAACCACGATTGTGCCAGGTCAGTACCGCCGGGGGCTGGAACATCGCCGACAATCGAAGACGAGGAACTTGCGGAGAAGAATCTTTTAAATTTGTACTTGGTGTTTGCCACAAGATTGGTGGTGCTTTTGGGGATCCTCATGGCGGAAGAAGAAAGCCTAGCCGCACCCCTCTGTTTGAAAACACGAGTTCCCCCAATCTCTCTTACTACAAAATGACGGAAAATGACCTATGTTTAATTTACATTTCTACTTCTATTTTTGTAATTTCTTTTCATAAATATGACCATTTAAAAAAAAACATGAACACATTTTTTTTAGGTTTAATTTATATATAGTTTATTATAAGTTATAATATTAAATCATGCACCTTGCAAAATTTTTCGGTTAATACACTAAACATAAATTATTAATAAACAATAATTAAACTTTTTTTTCTATTAATATACTAAACACAAACTATTAATAAACATCAACTACTCATCTAATTGTTCTATAATGTAAACTGCAATAGACCACGAGAAGACAATCAATTATTCATAACCAAATAATCACTAATCATCAATTCATAAACCATGCAATAAATTATGCGATCGTTAGATGTCGATCATGAGCAAGTGCGAATCATTATGAGATAAATTATATGACAATTAAGCGACGAATTTCAACAAAAACATTATGCGACAATTAGGCAACGTGATGATTTTGCACAAATTCGGTGAACAATTCGATCAATCGCAGGTCCATCGCCAGGTAGTTGAAGACAAGTTTATTTTAAGCAATTATTCTTGTTATGCGAATGAACCTTCGACTCGTAGGCAAATAATAATCGTATAGTAAATGTAGAACTTCTAACAAAATAAATTGCATAATATAATTTTTTTTTATTTTTTTCGAAAATTTTCTGTTATGCGATAATAAGTGCGACAAATGGAGACATACAAAAGGCACATATTATTCGCCGGGGTGAAGAAAATTCCAATTTCACATAACTATTTTTTTATAAAAATTATTGTCACCAAATTAAATTGAAGACGCCATTTCCATAAATAAAAAGAATGGAATAACAAAAATAAAGTTTTTTATTTTATAATAGCTAATATTCCTGAAAAAAGAGTAGAATAAAAAAATTAGGTCATAAAATCCTGTGGACCACGATAAATTGGCTGATATCCCATAGCAGGAACAAACTTTTCACATCCATCTTTGTTAAAAGTAATAATTTCAAATATATTGACACCGACACGTTTAAAGATAATGGTTCCTCTAATGGCGTGAAGGAAGGTACGTCACCCCTCTAAAAAATAACGCTTCCTAGACTTTCGTAGACTGTCAAAATCGATGACTCTTCAGATAGACACCCTATTGTTTTCGAAGTCTCACTTCGTTATGATCTTCGGTCGAAAATAGGCATCGGCAATTGGAGGCATAACTTGTCATTTGAAATTTATTTGGTGTAAAAATTTATTCTATTTAATAGCGGCTAATAATTTTTACCCAAATTCTAAATAAAATTATTACATGAATAATCAACAATTAAAAAGATATAATAACTTCTTACCATTATCAGGATTCACAGGAAGTCAATCTTAACTATGAAATACATTTTTTTAACGTTTAGTATCTTTCAATTGAGATGTGAATGAAATATTTTTTGACTTTATTTAATAAGTATTTATACTGATATGGTAACATTTCAAATTCCCTCATAAGCATTACTTCATAAAAATCAAAGGGCATGCATAACAAATATACAATTCCCAAATCCCTGCTAACAATCATTTGGAATGAATAATTAATGTGCTGATCATTTGAGAACTATGAAGATAAGGTTTTACAATTTATTGTTTACATAACAAATATGATCGTGGATGAACTGAACGGAGTCTGAATGTGAAACTTGGTCTGGCCGTGTTCGTCTCCTTAAGGGACCATGCCCCATCCTAACAATTACTTCTAGCAGTGAGTCATACAACTAAGACATGCAATGCATTTTCAACAATTAAGACAGAAAAAAAAAAAAAAGGGAATGTTGAGAAAAGACACTTCCCATCCCAAGTAAGGGCAACACAATAGACAAGACATGGCATCAGTTAGTTAATAATATGTGGCGCTAATGATGAAGACCGATGGGATAAATATGAAGATAGCCCTACCTAAGATGATGTTTGATGTAAGATAGGTTGGAGACTAATCCAACACAGCTATATGAGGTCTCGCAGTTCCTTGATTTTAATTTCATGTGTTGGATTATTTTTCTAACTTTAGCTCATAAAACTTATCCTATCATTGCCAGCCACAATTTGTCACACAGGAAACATAAACAAAATTCAGAAATTCACTAAACATGCAACCAAAGAAGAAACATTATGTAAAATAGTAACATCATTGCACTAAAAGAAACCGCAATCAATACATGGGCAGTCAAGTTCGAACAAAAATATGCTAAAGGACCACTACGCACAGCTAATAAGACCACCACAAATGGCACAGCAATATGCCACTCGAACAACGAAAGATGCCACTAGACTATAGGTTTGACGAGCTGTGGTTTATTTATTTATATATTTTTTGCTTACTAATCAGATGGAAAGTGGAGTGTTACCATAGGGGAACACTTGCCGGATAAATGAGTCATCATGGATGCCGAGATATTTCAAGCTGCGAGTCTCACAATCGTAAAGGTGCAGGTAACCAGAGTCCCGAATGAGCACTTTATCATTCTTGTAAAGTCCAAATATCTTAAAGTAAACAAAACTATCAACAGGAACTTCAAACCCATCCACGCGGGACCAACTGTCATTCCCCCACACCCAAATCTCAAAACAAGCTTTCTTCTTCTTCTCAGAAACATCAAATGTCCTATACTGCTTATCATAAACAAGCACCGCAAGCGACCCGTGAAACTCAACAGGAACAAATCTCACACCTTTCCCAGACATTTCGCTTTGGGGCACAGGGAACATTTCGCTTTGGGGCACAGGGATAAGAGCCGGCGAAAACTTCTCACTAGCAAAGTCGAACGAAATAATAGCACAACTTTTCTTGGTAATATGTAAAGCTAGCCAGTAATAGATACCATTTATGTGAAGAGAAAGGTATTCAAAAGGATAGAACAGAGGATCATGAGGATACGGAATCTCCTTCCATGAACCGGTTCGGAGGGACAACACCTCGGATCGGATGATTCGTCGCTTAGCTTCATACTCCAAAAGGTGAGATCTGACAACCTTATAGTCCCCGATTAATGTACGAGGATCAAACCCCACACCAAAACCCGAAACGAAAGCGAATCTTGGGAAAGATGGGGGAGGCCAAACTGCAGAAGCAGGAAGGGGTTTCAGCTCGTCGGTCGTCGGGTCCCACAGAAGCTCGTACGGAGGTCCAGGCAATTTTTGGCATGTCAATAGCATCCATTTGTAGTTGGAACACGCTCGAACGATATAATCGGCGTTCATATACCGTCCGTGATAATTTTCAGCTCTGAGTAACGATAAGTTGGGAAGATTGTCTTGTACCACCACTCGGAACGAGTTGTTTTCCGTTGAGATTACGCAGTGGTTGCAGGTTGCATCGTTGAGTACATATTCCACATAAGCATGAGATTTTTGCTGTTGATGTTGCTGTCGTCATGCCGGTTCAATTTGGGGGAAAGCGCCGGCGCCGCAGTAGTGCCATAGAAAGCGGGAAAGCGATGGGAAAACGTAGACCTAGAATTTGCGGGGAGAGATTTGAATTTGGATTTAGCGTTAGCGAGTAGACTGGCGGTGGCTGAAAGGATTCTCATGGTTACGTCTGCGGAAGAAGAACGACAAATTAAATTTTGTATTTTAACACTCATTTTAAAATGGACCCAAAAAGTGCAAGCCCAACTGCCCAACCCAACCATTTAAGTGGGCGGAAGCCCAACCATGAACATAATGTCCGAGGCAAATTTTTTTTAAAAAAAAATGTTACTCAATACGTT